GTTACCACGATATTAGCTTAAGATTGGCTAAACCACTTTGAAAGACGGGAGGTTTATATAACGGTATTTCGAAATACACCAGGTACTATAACGATTTGACTGATGATCACATACTAAATTAGATTACCCACGCATTTGATTGGTTTTTTCTTATGATCTATTGGAGGATAGACGCATAGATGACGTCACCATTAGAAACACTGTCCTTTTTGTTATATAAAACAGATAGATTCCATGGTGCCGTAGGTTTATTCTATACTAATAGGGATCTTTAGAAAACCACGATAGCGACGGAAACGAGGACGTAGCAAAACAAAAGATTTAATGAGCAGGACAATAGCTCAGCACGTGCATTTTAAAACTGTGCACATTTCTTAGCCGTTCTCTACAAAATAACAACGTGAAATCATCAAAATTTGTGTGGTCTGAGAAACGAAACTCCGACGGCAAATTATTTCAGGTTCTATCGGGAACTCAACGCCGCCCTCATACGTTATGCAGAGGTTAACTTGCGGCGCCGTAAGAGATGGTAAGCACATCCAGTCAGTCGCAAAATTCCAACTAAAAAGTTGACCTCATTTTCAAACAAACGTCTTCCTTGGCGATGCCGTCCTAACTGCGAAAGGTCCCGAATAGATCACAGAAGACATCAAAATAAGGTAAGAATATCAGGACACTCGGCCGTATTTTTTACGTTCCGTTTAAGGTTCTTATCACAATTTGATGTCATCTGTGATCTATTACTGAATAGAAGCACATGTTGGCTGGATAATGTATGTATATTAGGTAGAAGTTACACGTTAATCACTTCTGGGAGTTAAAGGGTTAAACAAATCAAAACTAGAAGCAAATAGCTGAAGATGAGCCAAAGGAGGCTAGTAGATCCTGACAGGCTGGTATCACCAGTTCAATCGGAATGTATTGTTACTTTTAGTTAACCTAGTTCCTGTTAGTTTTTTTCTATTCTCAGACAAGAAGATTGAGTTTCAGACTCCAAATACTTGTACATAAGGAACGAGTGATTTGGCCAGGTTTATGCCCGCAGTTGTTGACTAGCCATTGTTGTCAAGACCTTTTCAGTCAAGATCTTTGTTCATGGCCCATATGTCTCCTGTTGCGTTTGATGATGACTTGACAAGACAAAAAGATGATGTGCTACGAGCAATCCTTCCTCTTCGGCGAAGGCTGTCGCTCGAGTCCAAAGTCTAAGAATAGCTAAGACCAGCTTGTGGTTGGAGTAATCTAGAAATGAAGCATGTTCGTCAACTTGCAATTAGTAGTCTTGTAGCAAAACTTGCATGGTAAAGATTAAAATGACTAAAAGAACTCCAAAAAAGTCGCGAGGTTTTTTCGGTCTCACTTCGTGAGCGTGCTCGAAAGCTTCCCGAAAGTCACAGAAAAGTCCAGAAAGATGGTAACCAACCAACCCCGCGGAATTATGAACGCACACCTCAAGTCTACAAAAATAGTATAACATAATGTCCTGTGTTTATGGAATTTCCGTTTGCGAATTTCATCTCTGGTAATCTGTACGTCTGTGTTTCCTCCGCTTGGGTTGTGGTGGAAAGCGTCGATTTCGTCGTGTCGCACGGCGGTGAATGTATCGTCAACGCTACGTAGCCAAAACGGTGTCGTTCGTCAGCAAGTCGATAGGGCGCGTTCCTCAAACATACAGTTTACCAGAGAAGTAGAAAAAAGGTGAACTTCTTTTTCTAGTCTGCCTGGTAAGCCGTGACGGCAACTCACTTCTGACGACAGTTTGCAGGAAACAGCAAGTCTGACCGTACGCAAGCGAGCGACAAGGAAACGTGATGTCAACAATTACATTGCTGCACATCATCGACTTACGAACCACACTTTTGACCGAGACTCTGCGTAATGCCTAACCTAACTGGAAAGTTGGTTTAATAACTTAGAACAGATTAACCTCAACAGGTGTCAACTACTACCAGCACCACATAAACGACTTCAGCACAACATCAACATTACAAAAAGAACGACCAGGACGACCGAATTTTACCCTCGGATCCAAACAGACCAATCACGACCGTCTTACCCCATTTGAGTCTTACAGGCAATAACATCACGGCAAAACTGACCAATCAGCCTATACGAACTGGACTTAAAAAATTCGAATGATATTACACTATTCACTTGACTCTGTTGATGACCTCTGCTCAGGTTGACAAGACGTTACTCACCACGACCGACAACAGTCCTTCTCAGAACTACAATATCGTAATTACTAGAGTTAACCAACAGTATTTACACCTTAAGGAGAGTGAGAGAGACTCATTTGCAAAAAGAGATATGGTGGCTACAGGGTTTGAGCTAGGATTTGACTATTTAGGGTCAATTTGTCCCTTTAGATTATTTTTGGGGGGACATTTTCCATTTCTGAGGGTCGCTTAAGCATAGGGAAAATTTCAAACTGAACTAAAATTTTAAACATTTAATGAAATAGCAACAAGTTACATTGTAAGGTGGCATGCTTCTTTTTATCTTTCTCTGTAAACTCTTAACTGTATGATTCTCTTACAACCAGCAGCTGATCATGGCCACTAAAATAATTAAGAAAGTGACTATTTGTAAAAGAACAAGACCAACAACTCTGTTGTGCCATTATCATTTTAACAATATCATATTTGTTCTTGCTTCCACATTTCATTGCAGATCCTTCTTAGTTAATTAACTTCTTACATGTACATTTATAATAGCAGTATTTCACGATTTCAAAATTATCCTGTTCGTTATAGCCCACTCTTCAAGGGCTAATGAAAAATCAAAGTCCACAGAAGGTGGCCCCTCGATGTCTATGGTCATAAGTACATCTAACCTGTTGGCTTTTAGTCTGTTTCTCAATGCATTTTTAATCCTGTTTTGGGCACTGAAGCCTCTCTCACAGCAATTTCGGGGGGAAAAGCCGCAATTTGAACATTTTGTAAAAGTATCCAGAATTGGATGAAACGCTACTAAAGTGGTTTTGGGAGAAGAGTCAGGATAAGTCTAAAAGTCTTATTTTGAATCACAATTTTGTAGTTTAAAAAAAACGCTTTACTCAGCCGAGTTCTGTCAGATCGTGTTGCAATGTTTACACAAGCCGTGAGAATGACTGCTTCTGATTGGTCAGTTTCCGATGTTGTCAAAATGAGACAAAACAAACATCTAAATCTTGCTTCTCTTATCTTTCACAGAAATTGCTGTTAGCGTATTAATTCTGCGGCTAAAACCAAATTGTTTATTGAAAAATTGTGCCGTTTATGGTCGAATTTATGTTGAATTTTAACCCTTGCAATTTTTTTTTTGGGCACAAATACTTCAGTAAAATTTGTCGCAAAAATCGCTCGCTTTTTTAGGGGACAAATTGACCCCTGAATCATTTTTGGACGGGACATTTTAAATTTTATTGCGGGATTGGCGCAATGGCGCGGCCTGGCTCAAACCCTGTGGCTAGCGCACCGCGCCGAACTCTGGGAGTACTTTTCGCGCGTCCAACTCGCGGAGTTCCGCGCGCTAGCTAGCATTTGATTTTTTGACTGATTTTGATAGCCAAAAGAGGAGAGCTGGTCGAAATTTACAAAGATGAAGCCTGATTTCACACTTAAGACTCCACAGGTTCGAAAGCTTGACACTTACACACTAGACTCTGTAAATTCATGGCTATAATTTTCAAAATAATTTACCATTCAAATGTTAACATATTTTAATCAACATTTTTATGTATTATGATACATATAAGTCAAGTACGACGTTATATTAAAATTTGTATGTATCCATAATTAGGGTGATATGATTGATGATAATAACAATGTCTAGCGTCTCTTTGAATAAAATATATAGTTTATTCCGCTGTAAATCATTTTTAGCTCCTTGATTCAAACCCACGTTCATCACTTCAGGTATCAAGTAACGCTACCAGCTAATAAGAGTCTGGACCTTAAGAAAACCTCGACGACGACAGCAACGGGGACGTGGCAAAACAAAGATCTTATTGGTAGAACAATGGCGCAACGTTGCTCACATACGCTACGCTAAAGTTGAGGTATGGCGCCGCGAGAGACAGTAAACACATCCAGCCATTCGCAAAATTCGAATCAAAAACACAAAATCAGGTTTCAATTGAAGACTTCCTCCACGTTTTCGTCGTACCTGCTTAAAGGTTCCTATTTAGAGAGGGCAACAGTCAACCTAAGGATTATTACCAGTGATTGCGATGGATTGAAAGTTATCTGTAAAATTTGCATCAC